CCTGGCGCCAAAGCTGGATCCGCCCTTGGCTGTGAGCTCGTCCATCCATCTAAGCAATAAAAAAAAACCAGGTGGGCTGTGAGCTCGTCCATCCATCTAAGCAATAAAAAAAAACCAGGTGGGCTGTGAGCTCGTCCACCCATCTAAGCAATAAAAAAAAACCAGGTGGGCTGTGAGCTCGTCCATCCATCTAAGCAATAAAAAAAAACCAGGTGGGCTGTGAGCTCGTCCACCCATCTGAGCAATAAAAAAAAACCAGGTGGGCTGTGAGCTCGTCCATCCATCTAAACAATAAAAAAAAGCTTGTTAATTTAATCTAAATTACAATTTTCTTTTCCACGAAACTAAATTCGAATGAACGTATTCGATTTAACCGTCTACACTAAAATACAAAACGAATATGCGATTTGTTATGTAAACAGTGAACGTTCACAAACAAAGCGAACTGTCATTGAAAAATCAATAAACAATTGTTTTACAGTGATTTCTCGTTTCATTTCTTATGTACTTACCGATTTTCCCCCGATATCATTTTCAAGTAGATACATATTTACGTGATCAAGTTAAAAAACAATATTAATGATTTAATAGTATTCAAAAACACTTACGGACATTGAAAACGGAATGCACGACAGTGCCAATCGTGGTCCGATAAAAATACTAGCAATTGCATTGCAGCGTTGTTATACGAGTAGACTATGTGAAGCGCCCGTATGCAGGAGTGGCGTGTTTGCACTTCATAAGTGTGAAGGGATTAAGGGCGGTTTAGATAGAAGCTAATATTTTTGCGATTAAAACACTGCTTATTTATTTAAAGAGGGTTATTTGTTTTTTCACACTTCTGATACAAAGAGAGAGAGAGAGAGAGAGAGAATATAATTTATTATACACCAAAACAAAATTAATAATGAAAAACAGTCAACAGTTTTATTTCATTATATACGTATATACTATTAGATTCTAATAATGGCTTCAATTAATAAATATTTATATATGATAATATATATAATAATTTTCAAGGATTTGAGGGTATTTTCTTCGACGTTACATTCTAAACAGAGCGCTCGTGCCATTTTATAATACTATGGTTGGCACACAACAGGCTAGCAAGGGATTGTAGGTGTCACTACGTTGATCAGTGAAGATCTAATGCCGATTTCACCTGATTTATTAATCGTCTAGATGAGCTACCGCGTGGTCTGATTCTCTCCACTCTTACCTACACGACAAGTCGTTCGATAGAACCAGCAATCTTGTCGAGAAACCGATCGGAAAATTTTCATGGGGTAACTTTTCACTTGATTAACTTTTCTGATAGATGCTCTCTCGTGTATAGTTTAGTCCATTCCAAAGGTACGCATTGGATTATTTTTCAGAATACTTACAACGATTTTGGTAATAAACCGACGTAACAAACAGATACACTATTCAATAATGAGTAATACCTATTGTCAAATTTATTTCAGACTGAGAAACCGCAAGTTTTCCTGTTTTAGTGCACAAGTGCTTCAAAATTGTTATTAGCTAATGGTTTTAATATGTTTAATGGCTGTGCACTCGATGCGGTAACTTTTATTAGAAAAAAATCAATATTTTGTACTTGACAACAATGTCGAGTGCAATCGTGACCGTAAATAGATTCGTTATTACTTTATATTATTATGTCATAAACACAAACATTTATTGGTCATGGGGTGTATGGTGAGCCCGCGACGATACGTACCATAGTTTCACCTATTTCTGGCACGATTTAGATGTGTGATAATTCACCACATGACATCTAAAGGTGGACATTAAAATCAGGTGGACTATTTGCTCATATTAGCTCATCTCCCCAACTTATTAACCACCGAAACTTTAAACTTAATAGTTGTAGTGATATGCGTATTGATTTTTTTCATCAGTTTTATTAAAAACTAGCGGCCGGCTCCGGCTCCGCTCGGGTCTTTAACAAAAATTTCAATGACGATTATTTTTTTAGATAAAAGAGCACTTATTGCGGCATAACTATAATAGTGAGACATATGCTGTCGCGACACTTTTTGTAAATAATAATGTGTTCTACAACGTACATTATTTTATTCTATCATCAATAGTTTTCGCAGGGCACGCGACGGAAAGAATGTTTTAGGTATTTTTTTTACACCTTTGGTTATATTATTGGACTTTTAGTAAGGATCCCTAATTTTTTTCAAAAATGATTATAGACTATGTCACTCGGGAATAGTGTAGCTTCCAAACAGTGAAAGAATTTTTCAAATCGGTTCAGTAGTTTCGGAGCCTATTCAATACAAACAAACAAACAAACAAATCTTTCCTCTTTATAATATTAATATAATATAAGTATAAGTATGGAAGTATAGATTAAAATACAACTAACAAACGTGGTACAACTTGAAATCTCCACCGATTAATAATAGATCAGTTAAAATGACATCTTTATGCTATTACAAATGGAATCATTAAGAATTTTTCGAAAATTTTAAGTATTTTTTTTATCTTTAATTCTTTAATGTCGACGATGTGGTTAATTATAGGAAGTAATTGCATCAGTATCTGTTTGTTCAGCCACTTTGTCGTATTTAAATAATAACTTGGATAGTTTTATAGAATTTATTAAACGTAACTTTTTAGAGACAAACAATCTGTATAAATTTTGCAGCAGTAATGGAGGGAAAAATGCAATGACACAGATTATACCTATAAAATAGATTACAAAACTCAACAGTATCTTTTAATATCATTCAACGAGTTGAATTCTTTTAGTTTTATGTGTGATGGAAGCTCTCATACAAATTCTGAAAAATCCGCATAGCGCTCACAACTTTTCCACACAAGTTTGCATAATATAATATACAAATTTTTAACAACAAGAATTAGACGGAATAAGAATAAGTTATGGCCCTAACAAAGTTTTGATAGTACAAAACGTGAATTTAAAAACGTAATGTTAATATTTGGAGGTCACACGCCCCCTGTGTGGTTAGTGCGAGTTTTTTGGAGTTTACTCCTTTAGAATCGATTTACATATATAGGCCCGGGGTATGAAAATTATGGGGACCAAAATCGTACTAGCATGTCACACGAAATGCGTTATGCGCCTGATTGGCTCCTGATTGCGTGATGCGTGCGCGCGCCAATCAGGAGCCAACGCGCGGCCGCGTTATCGCAGGTGACGCCGGGCTGCTGCGCCGGCAGTCCGCCACAAAGCCTCGTACTGATCGCGCGTTTCTCTCATTATTGTATTTTCATATATTTGTTAGTCGTTTGTTTTGTGTCTCGTTAATTTGTTAATAATCTGTAGTGTATCGTGTTGTCGTAATATAGAACTATTTCTCGTATTGTTTCGTTTAATTTTTTATATCCAGTAAACTCCAGTCGTGCGTCGGAGCGGACACACACACTTTTTTACTTCTCGATCGCGTAAAAGTTAACTCGAATTTGTATGGAGTTCGAACGTTTTCATACGTTTGCCGCTAGGGGCGCTGTTCCAACACCACATTGAGATAACTTTAACTCGATCGAGAAATTGGAAAAACTCGTAAGCACACCGGGCACACGACGTCTCCGCTTTCATTTTCCACGTCTTGAGTTCTTTATTCAAGGCAAACGATATCTGTATGGAATGCCATCGTCTAACGAAGAAAATTCCTTATAATGTGAATTAGGATGTAATATGAACCGGCATTGGCAAGTAGCATCCTGATTTAGATGGATAGGGAATTCACTTAGTTTGGTTGATCTATTCAGTAGTATATGGGATCCAATCACCACTCCACGATTGTGCTTGATTAAAACTTGCAAACCAAATATCATGCCATTCTAATAGTACTTACTCATTGAATTAGGTATGACCATACGAATAATAAGGATTCCAATTGACAGAATTCTCCTAAAGTTATAAGTCAGATGTCAAATTAGCGTATTTGACCTGTTGCTTCCTAGTTCTATAATTAATTTAACTAAATAAACAAGCAAGCAAATGGTCACCAGAAATCATTCGTCACCCTCCGTATTAGCCAGACCTTACTCCAAAAGACTACAATTTTTTTCGTGATTTGGATAATTTTCTACGTGATAAAGTTTTCTTCCCAGGAGGCAGTACAAAATGCTTTCACACAGTTTGTAGAATTTAGATGACCAGAGTTCTATCGCAAAGGCGTAAATGACCTTTCTATTAGATGGCAGCAATCTATAGATAATAATGGTAGATATTTTGATTAAATAAATTTCAAATTTTCAGTACAAATCGGTAATTTCATACTTTAACTCCTAATATTAAAATCTTTCCTGTTTGCTTGTATCTTTAATAACAGCAAATACCCCACTTAAGAGGAAATCATTTTGTCAACACAACGCCGAAATTAAATTTATAATAACGTAGGTAACAAAGATGGGTAGGTTACTAAATATATCTCGCTCTCTTTCGCACACCTGCAACTACTAAAGGTGACGTCATGAGCTTTATTGCACATCCTTTTTATTATTTTGTCTGTCACCTCCATCACGTATGTTTTATGTTAGCATTTTTTTACTAACGTATTTAACGTAGATGCAGTGAAATATTATTGACACAATCAAAAAAAAAAAACGTTTTACATATTTACTAATAGAGGTAAACAAAAAAAAATTATTGTCTAAGAAAAACAGATTTTTATATTACAAATATGCAATGCACACAAATAATCGGAAATAAGATCGCATCGTCACCTAATACCGACATATACCGTACAAAATTTTACAGTCGCGGACCAGACACGGTTTTAATTTTGTCTTAGCACTGTTTCAATTCAAACGAAGGATATCCTGCTTACGCTGTATTTTTTTTTTAAAGTAATTTTCTCTTTATTAGTTACCAATTTTTTTAAAAAGTATCCATGGTGTGAAAACTTCGATCAAAAAGAATTCTTCTGAGTCCGTTTTTATTTATTTAAGTGGGTGGTTAAAGCATTTAAACAGTTAAACTTAATATTGAATGCTTAAATTAGCTTAAAACTTACCGTTTTGTAACTTTGTTGATTTAAAAATCCAAAATGCTTATTATCCCTTCTGTTTACTCCAATTTATTTAATTAATTCCTTTCGGCAAGCACAATAACACGTAATAAAATGACACCAAGATAAAAATAACTTTTATAAACGCGTTTTTTGGGTGTACTTAATTAAACATTTTAAATTTCGATTTATTGGTTTTTAATTCGCGCCAATTTTATTGCTTACGCACGTCTTAACCGTTCGACCGCGTGTGTCATACTAAAATACTGACATAACAGAACGGTAAAACCTCGTACAATGCGCTTACGCATTGTCAATAAAATTGTACGAACAAAACGTTCTAAGTTTACCTATAAAGGAATTTGATACCCAAATTCGTTCGCTTAAGATTTACTTTTCTATGCAGCTTTTAACTAAGAGGCTAGCCTGGGGTGTGACTCATTCATCTGTCACAGCTGGCCTCGTCATTCATAAGTAACTTAACAACCTGTTCTGGCCACTATCACGCCAACCTAAAGCATAAATTTGCATACATTAGCTAGATTACCTGTTTCGTGCTTTGTTAGTTTCGCTTGTTAGGTACATATTTTCTTGCTGTTTCAAATTTCGCAAAGATGACCACTTCTAGTTATCTACAAGTAATTATTTGAACAATATTTTTAACTACTTTGGTTACTACTTATTGCTTAGATGTGTGGACAAGCTCACAGCCCACCTGGTGTTAAGTGGTTACTGGAGAACATAGACATCCACAGCGTAAATGCGCCACCCACCTTGAGATACAAGTTCTAAGGTCTCAAGTATAATTACAACGGCTGGCTCACCCTTCAAACGCATTATTGCTTCACGGTAGAAATAGGCAAGGTGGTGGTACCCACCCGCGCGGACTCACAAGAGGTCCTACCACCAGTAAGATTCAAGTACTTATGCAAGATTCAAGAAATTGTAATGATAATTAATAAAATCCATTTTGAAGTTTAATATTCCTATTTGTTGTAGTGATGTGGTACCAAGTTCCTGCTACACTATGATTTTAGTGGCAAACAAGTAAGTACTAGCCACAGGAAACGAATGTGAGTATGTAAGCCAGTTTCTATTTTTATTTATTTGTTTGGGATACCAACAGTACAATATCTATATACAATGTTCAAGATAAGCAAACAAAACCAAACCAGTTTCCTAATTTTTACCACTTCATTTGAAATCATCTGTTTTCTTATTGGCAGAACCTACAGCTGTCCTGAATGGTACATTAAATGCTTACCGGAGTTCAGTTCGATACTCTATTTTTTGGGATAAGCCCCATTCAACCCTTCAAATCTATACGAATGATAGATTTCCGATAAAAATATGTTTAATGGAGGTAAGGCCCTATACCTAATTTATAGCTCAAATACCCAAATAATCACTAAGTAAAGATTTAGGTAGATTAGGTAAATAAATGATTTAGGATTCACCGGAAGGCTCCCGCACATAGGTATCCTAATAAAAACAGCCTAACCAATTTTTAACGTATAAGATCCCATTTCAACTAAAAAATGTTGCTATTTTATAGCATGAACCTTTAACAACACTAAGAGTAGCACTAAGATAGACGTCAGGGCAATTTGCTTAAACTTCGCGTATTAAGGTGTAGACAGTCGAACTTAACAGGGAACGAGAAAAGTAATTAAATTTCAAGGACTAATTAGTAAGTTAAGCGAACCTTAACGACCGACACGGGAGCCGCGTGTGAACGTAATATAATTTTAAATGCTTCGACTAACGTGCGAAGGGCACATAATTATACATTTTCATTTTGTTCGATATGAAATGTTTGTGCGAGATTAAACCGAAAAACATGTGACCCAACGGCATCATCTTTTTCTCTCAATCTAGAAATAAAAAGATGTGTGGTGTCGTGGGACACCGGATAGGAACGAAGTTCCATATCAAAAAAAAGGAATTACGACAAAAATCGCGCGGTGAAATATCGCTGTGCGGAAAACAAGGCTTTATTCCACGGACTTTTTCTTACGGTTTTTACTATCACATTTTTTTCAGTTCGGTCGCGCAGCAAAATCCCTGTCTCCTCGAAGCCTGCCGTAAGGAACTTCATTCCAATAAGCGTATCATTCTGTGCGTAACTTCATTTACATTAATATACATTTTTTTTGTCCCGTGAAAATCACCGGACTTCCGCCCTCCACTGGTGATGGAGAGCGGGGCATGTCGGAGTCGAACCGACTAAAACATCCTGTCGCTCAACAACCAGCATCCAAACCTCGCATGAGACAGAACTCATGAAAAGGCAAAGGGGGAAAGTGAAGCGTTTAGTGCGGAGCACATCTCTCCCATCACCCTCCCCCTCGGGATGCCGGACCGGCGGTCGTTGGTACCACGACCACCAGCCCTCTCGGTCGGTAGACTATCCGATACAAACGTATTAGTGTTTTTAAATGATCAATGATCATTTGCACAATACTATCTACGTTTTAAATTAAGCCACCAACTGGAAACGATACATCATCTCTAAATGTCCAATGAAAAATCATGTATTGTGTGCAAAATCATACGCGGTAGAAATGAAAGCATCAATAATATTGTTTCATTCTTTAGCAGGCTAAAAATCCTAAAATATGTTTGTAACTTTATTTTGTGTCAGTTTTTTGGTCCTTCGACTTTCAAATGACAACCGTGCTAAATATATTTTCACTGCAAAAAAACCTCGCACTTATAATATCATTGTGCACATAAATAACTTTGTTTCAAATTAGAATTTTAATAATTGTTTATTACATATTTATTATTTGTCTAAGTACTGTAGAAAGAAATCAAGTAACTTGGCATAAAAATTGATTGGTTACGGCAATTAATAAATCAATCTTTAGACATTTCTTGATTCAATCATTCTCAAGAATGGTCTCAATAAAAGTGGCGGAAATTTAGAGTCAATAACTATTTTATTAGACCCGAAGCTATGCCCAGTGATAAAATTAAAAACACTTTTTTTTTCCTACCTAAGCTGAGAGCCTTGAGAGGCTATTTCAGCGTAACCCTAACTAGTAGGTGAGCTCTCGGGGCTTAAACCTGGGAAAAATCACATATAAATTACACCTGGTGTAGGACCTGGTGGTAGGACCTTTTGTGAGTCCGCGCGGGTAGGTACCACCACCCTGTCTATTTCTGCCGTGAAGCAGTAATGCGTTTCGGTTTATAGGGCGGGGCAGCCGTTGTACCTATACTGAGATCTTGGAACTTATATCTCAAGCTGGGTGGCGGTATCTAAGCCATAAAAAAAAAACTGGTCAAATATATTCAAAAATACACATAAAATAATACACATCAAACCCAGTCAAATAACGATTAGTGCGAACCCAGTCAAATAACGATTAGATTTTATTCAACCTCCATTTCATTCACTGTTTTCTTAACGAATTAAAATATTTGATAGATAATATTATTCAATACTTGTTATAAGTTCGTTACGTAAACTATTACATGCCAACATTGTTTTGTTTGAACTTTGGATACCCTGAGGTTTTGTTGTGTACTTAAGTTCACTCGGGTATGCTCCGGTGCGGTTTACTACAGTTATTATTACATGTAATGAGTAGTGTAGTCACCTCTGATTATATACACGTCATATAATCAAAGTTCGTCATTATTATGTTGGATTTATCATGAGAGTGTTAAGGCATATCGGGAACCCGAACTGTTGGGTATTAACATCCTGCCTATGTCTGACGCGAAGTAATCATGCGTTTTAGTTTGAAGCGGATGGCGGTATGATATGCGTGGGGTCCAATAACCACTCAATACTAGGTCAGCTGTAAGATCCTCAACCCAACGACCCGACTACTGGAAAAAATTCTTTTTTTTCCTCTATTTATCTTTCAACGTAATATCAACGTAATTCACATAACAAGTACCGATGATGATAATACATACAATAATCTATATATTAATTAATACGTGAAGCAAAAACTTTGTGCCTTTTTTACGAAAATTGCGTGGACGGATGAGTATGAAATTTCCCACACTTATAGAGAATATAAAGAAGGAGTGCAGAATGTATTTTTTTTAATTAAATAAAAATACAAAATATATAATAATTAAAAAAACATTACACACACTACCGTGTATTTGACTCATACACGCAAACTCTTTTGTTTATTGTCAAAATTTTGTTATTGTATAAAGTCTGTGGTCAAGTCGAGAATAGATTAATATTATTTGTCTATAGTGTAGTCTTGGTGACTTTTGTGATTAGAAGTATATTTTGACAGATTAGACTTTGACAATAAAACCATAATAATATTCAAACTTAAAATTTCAATTAATTATAGCCAAATTTCGACTACTGCGGGACCACTAGCTTTATTAAATGCACTTCTAACTTGAATTTTAGGAGCTGCGCACACAATTTCCCGACACTTCAACCTTTGGGATCTTTTGTGTCTTCACCCTGTTTACCATATCACCCACATGAATTCTGTAATAGCGTTTGAAGCTTATGACCACCCAGACATTGTTCATTCTTGTCTTTATTACACCTCGCCATTGCTCACAAAGTAGGTATATGAGATTTGGATCTCCTTCATGTAGGATCGATGTCGATGCTCAACTGTGAAAGGCCTAGTGACGACCCCAAACGAATTCCATAGCTAATTTTTATAAAGTTTTCTGATTTAACTGTAGTTAGTATGTATATAAAATTCACGCAGAAACATTTTTCAGGTACTTTTGTTATAGTTTCGTTGCTGCTTCAGCCAATTTTTTGTAGCTGGTAATTGACTAGCAGTCAGTTGGTGAACATTGCATCATCCATCTGCCTTATCTAGATAATTTTCTGTCAGATTCGACACAGTGTTGGAGAATTTCTCAGATACCATGATCATTAACTCATAAATGTATCCGACAATGTTATATAGTCAATTGTACCTTGCGAAAATCAACAACAAGATTTAATAATATATGAAAAAGAACCTCGCTTTGTGAGCATTCCCTGATCGTTGTAGTTGGCACTTGGGCACATAAAAAGATGGACGTTTTCATACCGAATGAAAATTGAAGAAAATAAATTTCCGAGTTAAATAAATGTAAAATCGCACAATCTACCTAGTCTTGCCATAAATACTGAGACAAAGAAGGACTGTCACTAATCTCTGACCACGACCCCGGTTTCATTTCAATGTTTTTCTATTATAACGTCACAATATCACACACAGTAATATGCTCAATCGTATATATTGTCTTAAATGCAATATATAAAGTA